CAAAGCTAACAAAGGTGCTCAGAGCTATCAAAGCTAACAAAGGTGCTCAGAGCTATCAAAGCTAACAAAGGTGCTCAGAGCTATCAAAGCTAACAAAGGTGCTCAGAGCTATCAAAGCTAACAAAGGTTAACAGAGCTATCAGAGTAAACCAACAGCAGTGAAACACCTAACAAAGTGGCAAGCTGTCTAAACAAAAGGAAACAGCCGCGCCTTCTCCCAGGATGTCCTTGGCTCTTAAAGGGAGGCCTCAATAGTGATTGGTGGAGCCGTCAATTGATGACCCAATCACGGTAGGCCTCAGGATGTAGGACAGGACGAGCAGGGCAGCACCCACTTCCAGGTGGAGGCAATCCAATTAGCCACTGAAAAACAAACAACCACAGAAAAAGGCCACTGGCCGTAACACTATGAACTTCCAGCTCCTGACAATCATAAACTAGTTAGGCTGCCTTCTCGCAGTGTCACTGCATTAGGTTTTCTTTGACATTACATTTTCTGCTATAACTGCTGTGTGTTTGCATGTGGCATTTATGTTTGTTTCATGTGGTAGCTCTCAGCTGGTGAGAGAAAAAGCAGCTTGTGGTTCCAAAAGGTTCAGTTGTTGCCATTTAGCAAAAGATCTAAAGTAGCATTCAAATTAAAAATGAAATATTTAATTAATTTATACTGAACTTTTTTGATAAGCAAATTCTGAAATGTTTTAACTTGATTTGGATTAATGTGTGTATGCATATGTGTATGTTTGGAGTCATGTACTAAACTGATTATTTTAAGGTTTATTTGCATGATTTTTTGATGCAAAATATTTCCATCATATGTGTATTCCATGGATAAAGTATATTACCTTATACCTTCATATAACTTGCTCTAGATTAATGTCACTACCTTAATATTACATATACTGTATTACCTTTTATAAATACGTTTGATAGAAGAATAGTTGTAAATCAACATGATATAAATTAACTGGATTGAACTGGGTTCCTAAAATGCAAGAATGTGGACAATATTTTATTGTATTCCATTTATGTAAATTTCAATTATATACTTTATATACATGGAGATGACATCTGTGCCATGACTGAGTGTTTGACTGACTATATAAATGTCTGTTTGGACTGCACCATCTGCACCAGAACTGTGAGCTGCTTCCCAAATAACAAACCCTGGATCATCACTGACCAACAGAAACTGAACAAAATAAGAGCCTTTAGGGAACGAGACAGGGAGTTATGGAGGAGTATACAGAAGCAGCTCAGAGTCAAGATTAGAGACAGAAAGGAGAAGTACAGGAAGAAGCTGGAGAATAAACTGCAGAGGAGCAATATCAGAGATGTGTGGCCAGGTATGAAGACTACAGGCTTCAGGCAAAAAGAGGATCAGATAGATGGAAGTTTGGACAGAGCAAATGAGTTGAACACATTCTTCAATAGGTTCAGCTCAGGAACAAGCTCATCACCCTCCTGTCCTCTCCAGCCATATAAACATCCCACCTTCCTCAGCCCACAACTTTACTGTCAAACCTCAGATGTCTTCCACCTCAGTCATGGACTCTTCTGCTTCCACAAGTTTGTCTTCAACCAGATCAGGAGATGCTGCTGCTCCCTTTGCTGCTACTCCCTTTGCCTCTCCCTCCCACTTTTCTGCATGTAGAAGTCAGATGAAGAGGCAGCTGGAGGGACTGAACCGGATCAAAGCTGCAGGTCTGGATGATGTCAGCCCCAGAGTCCTGACGTCCTGTGCAGAGCAGATCTGTGGGATTCTGCAACATCTCTTCAATATTAGCCTGACCCAAGAGAAGGTTCCACTGTGGAAAACATCCTCCCTGGTTCTGATACCAAAGACAAACTCATCAGTCGTCAATGACTATAGACCAGTTGCCCTGACACCCCCCATCATGAAGGTCCTGGAGAGACTCATGTTGGCCCATCTGAATAAGCAGACAAGCACATATCAAGATGCCCTGCAGATTGCTTATAATCATGGATTTGGAGTTGAAGATGCCATCAAACACCTGCTTCAACAGACCCACTGTCATCTGGTCAAAGCAGGCAGCACTGAGGATCATGTTCTCTTATTTCTCCAGTGCATTTAACACAATTCAGCCTGATCTGCTCTGTGAGAAACTCCAGAAGACGCAGCTGGAGGCCTCAACAATCAACTGGATCTATAACTACCTCACAAACAGACCACAGTTTGTGAGACTGGAGGACTGTGTGTCTAACCAGGTGGTTAGCAACATGGTACGCTCACCATTCCTTTTCACTCTCTACATTTCAAACTTCCAGCACAAGTCTGACTTCTGTCATCTACAGAAATACTCAGATGACTCTGCAGAGATGGACAAGAGGCTGAATACAGAGAGCTGGGGGACCACTTTGTGTCATAGTTTGGGAACAATCATCTCCTGCTGAATGTAAACAAAACAAAGGAGATTATTGTTGATTTCAGGAGAAACAGGATTAGATCAAACCCTATTTCCACCATGGGAGAAGAAGTGGAGGTGGTTGAGGAAGATAAATAAGTCTGTGTTCGCCTTGACAACAGACTGGACTTGAGACCCAACAAGTGCTTATAGAGTTTATAGATCTTTCAAGGTTTGCAGCAAGATGCTACTGATCTTTTATAAGTCAGTTGTTGAGAGCATCATCTCTTCTGCCGCCATCTGTTGGGGCAGCAGCATCAGAGCCAGGGACCTAAAAAGACTCAACAATCTGATAAAGACAGCTGGTTCTGTTCTGGTTCTGTTCTGGGTACGACTGTGGAGCCTCTGGAGATGATCATGCAAAGAAGAACATAAAATCAATACATATTTGGACAATTCTGACCATCCTCTTCATGAGACTGTCTTGGGAAAACAGTGTCTTCAGACAGAAGCTTCTTCAGATTTGTTGTAACACACAGATCTTTCCTGCCAACAGCCGTCATTATCTACAATAAGTATTTGAAGACTTTGAAATAATGAGTTACAGCAACATTTAACTTCCCTTTTGGGATCATTAAAATATTTTTAAATTTGAATTATTTATTGCTATTTAACAGTCAGTTCAGGTATTTGATGGAGACATACAAAAGCAGAGCACTGAAAAAACAATACGTTTAAGAATATTAGTGACAATTCTGACATTGTCCAAAGAATATTGTATTCCGATTTTAAGGGAAACTCTGATATGTATTAAGTTAAATGTCAAAACTGTTGAACTGTTTAGAAAATATAAGAGGTTTGAACTGGAAATGCTTATTTAAGATCTAACTGATCTTTATGTGTTTTCATAGGAAGTTCTGCTCGGATGAGAAAGTTCCTGAAGTTGCTGACCTGGCTGGTTTATCTGTCTGTGCCAGCTGTACCAGCTGTGGTGTTGCTGCTGTCATTCCTCTTAGCGCTGGGTGTTCCTTTGTTCAGTCTCAAATTCATTTTAGGTAAGTCACTTTTACAATGTCATCAATGTAATAACATACTGATAAATGATAGTTCAATGAAAAGTTGCAAAACATCACTATGTTAAACATTAACATGATTGTGACCATTTCACAAAGTGAACAATGACCTGATGAGGAAAGGGGAACGGTAAGGCGGATTCAAAGTTGTCATTTGACAGTTATGGTTTGGATTCTCTAACATGCTGAGTTTTAGCATCTCTATGTTTATTAATTAAATCCACATCAGCACCAAAATATCTTTGTGGATGGATGAGTTTACAAACAGTGTTCACATTTATAATGCTAAGTATTGCACTATTCCTTCAAATCATCCATTTATCCAGCCTCAGCTGTGAAAGTAACAGATTAGAGAGAAACCGTGGCGTCCTTCGTCCCATCAGTACTCTCCAGTTTCATCTGGGTTTTTCCAATCTACTATGAATAAAGTGTCTTGGAAACGTATTCACAACCTCTCTAGCTTTTTACATTTTTTACATGCAAATGACATTGTAATTATAAAAAAATTGGGCTTTTCTGTTGTAGACCAACACGAAGTAGTACATAACTGACAACGTTAGCCACTTCTAAAGATGCATCATCACCTATCTGAGTTTGCTCTTCGAAGGCAGACAGATACAGACTGATTCTGAGAAATCACTGACCTCTGAGTCCCAAAGACAAATCCAAAGAATTTATCACAATATATCCCAACTAATTATGTTAAAAAGCCCAAAACAAACCGTTGGTATGACTTTTACTATTTTCTTCATCAATAAATATCCGTAAGTTTGAAAATATAAATGAGTGCAGTTACTGTATGAGGTGTAATGATACAAATCACACTTCTTTATGTGATTGATGTCCTAAAAATCCTATTTAAAAATGGATGATTTCAAGAACTGTGAACTTTGATCCCAAGATTGCCAAGAAGTAAGACATTTTTTCTATCATCACTTTTATTAATATCATAATAGTACCACAATAATGGGATCAAATTTTAGATCCATATCACCGGTAACTTTTCTTCCAGTTCCATTTTTGCCCAAAGGAAGACCTTTCTCCATCCAGAGTCCTCCCTGATCATTTATAGCTCTTGATGTCACTGGTCTTCCACCTTCCAAGGGGAAGAAAAGGGGAAGAAAGTTATCACGACCATCGACCACTTTTACAAAGCTTATCAACTGGTGGAAGGACGTTTGCTTCTCCGTTGGAGCCAAACTTCAGCTGTCCTCCAGCTTTCATCCTAAGTTCAATGGACAACATGAGAGGATGAATCAGGAAAGGAAAAATAAACTCTGTTGTGTCTACTTAATCGATCCGATTGGAGCTTTCACTTACTGAACCATGGTTCAAAAACACAAAACTCGTATACATGAGCTGCTAGCGGACTTTGACCTTTTGAGGCGTCCCTCCTTCACTGAAGGAAGAAGGAACTGGTCATTGAACTATGACCAGTCTAACCATTCCCTCAGGGTCTGAAATTTTAACAAATATGTATTACAACTCAAGTAAGATGCAAGTAATACAAAATCTCATTTGTTCATTCTTTAATTCCCTTCTCTTGGACATATAATTTATAAATTCACTTTGCTTTCGGTCCTTTCAAGAACCTGTCCTATGAGTCGGATCAAAACCTCTATGTACAAAACTTAAAACTGATTTGTGTTTCCATAGTTGAATAGTCAGTTGACTCCATAGTTGAGTCAACTGACTAACATGACACCATTTTTTAAAATGTTTAAAATTATTACGCATTGAAGTTATTAAATTACAGTAAAATAAAATTTGAATTATGTTGTGAAATCATACATGAGCACTTTTATTTTTATTTTATGTACTACATTATAAACGTTTTAAGCTCCTTCTGTATTTGGCAAAATAAAACATCTCATTGCTGATCTGAACGGCTCTGCAGCGACCCGTAACCTTTTGAGGAGTTAGATCATTAAATGATTTTGATTTGTGAGGCTAAGAAATTTAAATACATTTATGATGTGCTGAATATGAACACTAATAATCTAATAATAATAATAATGATGAATTACTCCTAAAAAGTAAAAAAAATAAATAAATTACCATTCAACTTTCATGGTTAGTCCTGGATCGTATAAATACACTAACATAATGTTTCTCTTTTAAACATGATTGGCTCTCTGTGTGTTTTTGAGATTTTCTTACCTTATTTATTTCAGCTACGTGGTTCGTCCATTTTGGGATTTATTTTTATGGTTTTACTAAATCCTGAAAAGGAATTTCCTTTTATGTACATTTAACATGCAAAAAAGAAAACAAATTGTGTGAATCAATGTTTTCACACATGGCATTAAGACCAACAATGGTAGATAATAGATTTTCCACCATTTTCCAGAGTACTGGAATACACTTAGTTGTGGCTACAATCTCAGTCTAGTAGTTTTCCATCATCAGTGGTAATCTACTGGATTTCCACATTCCCATCCATGATGTACGTGAATAGGAATGACTAGTTTCAATGTAAGGTGTCTCTTAGTGTCCATTAAAGCTCTATATAAATCTGATGTAATTTTATGTCATTCCATAGAATTCCCAACTTGGGCCAGAATTCTCCTAATTCTGTCGGTTCTGCTGCTTCTTACTATTGACGTGGGCCTTTTGTTTCATTTTCGACAACAGTTTATATCAGGTAAGTTTACAATTGTATCAATGCTAATGTCTTAACGTCCTGATGTTTTGTGACCATTTCAGAAACCAAAGAATGACCTGATAGGTAAAAGTAAAGAAAACTTCTGATTTGCTGTGGTTTCATAATTATGGGTTGGATTTCATGGTCATCAGTTGAGACCACATTAACCCCAATGTACCATTGTGGGTGAATGAGACTAAAATTGTGTATAAATTTGTAATGGAAAGTATTGCAGTTCTCTATCAGCCAATTGTTTCATCCTTCTTGAGTTGTGATGATGGGAGATTCAAGAGAAACCATAAAATCCATCCTCCCACCATCACTCTTCAGTTCCTGCTTTTGGTTTTTTCAAGCCTAAAAGCCAAAAGCAGGGATGGACTGGGATCTAAAAATGGCCCTGGCATTTTTGGCCCTGGCAGCCCATCATAATTATTTACTCAATAAGAAAAGGTTCATGACTTCATATCGAGGCAGGTGAGGTGGCTCGGGCATCTGGTCAGACGCCTCCTGGACGCCTCCCTGGTGAGGTGTTCATGTCCACCAGGAGGAAACCCAGAGGAAGACCCAGGACACGCTGGAGGGACTTTGTTTCTCAGCTGGCCTGGGAACGCCTTGGGGTTCCCCCAGAGGAGCTGGAAGAAGTGGCTGGGAGAGGGAAGTCTGGGCCTCCCTTCTCAACCTGACCGCAGATAAGTGGAAGACGATGGATGGATGAATGACGTTTTTAAATAAAGAAGCAAAGAAATATGGGAAAACAAAAACCTGACTTCCATCAGACTACTCATTCAAAAAGTAGAAGTAAAAATTAAATATTCTTTTCTTAAAGAAACAAACATTAATACAGTTAATTTGGTGTGACACCACTCTTCCACAGAACCGAACTCATTTAGTTGTCTGGTAGAAATATCCAATCTCCCTTCATTCCTCATGACTCATTAAAACAGCAGGTATCAGTCCTAATGTCTCCACTTCTCTGACTCTTAATAGTTTTAAAAAGCAGCTCAAAATGCATTTTTTTTAAATGGGCCTTTACATACTTTTACATAATTTGTCAGTCAGGAATTTATTTTTCTTGCATGGTTACATTTATAGCCATGCACAAGTATCGCTACATCTCTCTTACCTCTTCAATGACTAATTTTATTTTTGGTATTTTATGCACACCTTTGCTTTATGAGTTTTAAGCTTCCCAGTGAAGCACTTTGTGAGACTTTTTATTTGTGGAATAGGAAATGTCAAACTGTGAAGGAAACAAATTGCTCCATTGCTGCTCTGCATTTGGTGGCAGCTGGATGAATGAGAGGCTGCTGCTGAGCTCCACCTGGAGCCAAATGTTTTAGAGCTCTAGGTAGCAACAGAGCAAAGCTACCAGAGATCAGCCACAGCATCTGCAGCCAGATGCTGCTGTCTTTTTATATCACCATAGAAACATGCAAACATCTGTTGATCTGTTTTGTTTCTCAGTCTACAGGGTGGAGGTGGATTCAGGAGTGGAGTCTGTTCTGCTGCCCTTTGAAACTACAGTCTGTCTGTGTGCTAAAGACACAGTAATATGGACACACAACACTGGCAGGATGGTCTACGAGTATCAAAGCTCTTTAAGGCTTGAAGAACAACAGTACAGAGACAGAGCAGAGATGAAGAAAAAATTTGAATTTGGAGACTTGAGTTTGACCTTGAAGAATCCCACAGACAGAGACTCAGGAACCTACAGCTGCACCGTCTACAGAGGGAGAACAATCCAGGCCATGAAACAAGTACTGCTGACTGTCAGAGGTTAGTTAAATAGATATAAGCCACATTTGATCCATGGTAATGTCTTTAATGAAACAATTAGAATAGGTCTTTATTCTGAGGCATTATATGAAAATTGGAACAAGGATACATTTTGTGCCATTTACTTTTCTAAAGAAAGTGATGTAATAAATAGTATTGCTACTCTCAGTTTAGATGCTTTGAAACAAATGGATATATACAATTATGGAATATTTAGGGGTTACCCTGACCTCTCATCATTGAGTTAGGGGGTTTGAGCTGCAGCCTGGAGAGGTCACCAGTCAACCACAAGGCACATGGACCAGTACAATCTGTGTAAAATTTAATATTAAATTGCAAAACATTAATGTTTCAATTTAATGTTTTAGTTGCTGGGGGAACATTATGAACTTATAAATCAAGTATTTGTGGTTTTATTTAAATAACTTGTTATAAAACAGTAACTTCTCTTTAATCATGTTCTAACTTTCTCCTCTCCTCCATCCAGCTGGTCCTGACTCTCTCATCATATCCATAGACTTTGGTTCAGGATTCAGTGGCTACGCCTTCAATGTTAAACCCAGACAGGAAGGAGGAGAGACCCAGATAAAGAGATGGAGGAATGGACTTGGACTAGACACCCCAAAGACTCCAACCTGCATCCTGTTTGATGAACATGAAGAATTTATGAAGTTTGGTTATGAAGCTAAAACAGCATTTAACAATATGAGAGGAGGAGAAGCTGAGAGACATTATTTCTTTGAAGACTTCATCATGAATCTCTGTGACAGAGTAAGTAAATTATCCGTGTGTTCTCTGTGAACAAAGCTGTCTTCTCAATTTGAAACGGTCACTATTTGAATTATCTGCACCTACACAGCATTCCATTTGCTAACATGAAAATAGGCTTTAACGCTGCGGTTCTCTATATCAATCAATCAATCAATCAATCAATCAATCAATCAATCAATCAAATTTTATTTGTATAGCACATTTCAGCAGCAGGGCATTTCAAGGTGCTTTACATAATTAAAGAAAAAAAAAAATAAAATTAAATTAAAAATAAGAACAGCATGTGACATTGAATAAACAGTAAGAAAGAGATAAAAAGATAAAAACATTCTTTTGTTACAGAATTTAAGCGCCTGTCGTCACTGGACTCCACCGTCTGTTTAACACGGGTTTTATCCAGGCTCCGTCGCCTGACAGGACGGAATTTACAGACTTTTAGTCAAAACGCCATTTGACAAGGATTCTCAAACCTGAGTTTTAGTTAAAACGCCATTTAAAAGAAATTAATAAATAGATAAAAAGTAAAGATAAAAACATTAAAAACATTGAAGACATCAAAACCCACACTCTAACCCTAATTTAGCCATAAGCAACTCTAAACAGGTGGGTTTTAAGTTGAGATTTAAAGGCACCCAGTGTTTCAGCTGTTTTACTTTTTTGGAGGTTTATTCCAGATTTGTGGTGCATAGAAGCTGAATGCTGCTTCTCCTTGTTTGGTTCTGGTTCTGGGGATGCAGAGCAGAACCAGAACCAGAAGATCTGAGGGGTCTATGTCACAAATGTCACGGCTCCTGGTTGTTTGGGTATCATCTTTGTTTGTATTTTGATTATTTCCTAATTTTTTCATCTCATTTTTATCTCTGTATATGCATGTTCTCACTTGTGTCAGCTGTTTTCTGCAGGGTTCTTGCTCTACACTTTCATGTTTCTCTAAGTTTGCTTTGGTGTTTTTGAACTGGCCGTATTAAAATCCTTCACTTTCACTCCACCATTCATCTGCTGTCCTCCTGTTGCAACTTAATTCTCTACAACATCAGCAAATTCTGAAAGCAAACCTAATCAACATCAGCTTCACTACAGAAACTGTAATAGTTTCTGAATGTTTTTTTTATTTATTTATTTTTTTTTTTTACAGATTTTGGAAAAAGCCAAAGGAAGACCTTTCTGTTCTTAACTTAAGACCTTTTTCAAAAATATATAATTTTTGTTGTAGAGAATGTCGTTTATTTCCAAAAAATATTAATTCCTCCTTGATCTCTAGACCTGCGTTTAGCTTTTAATGAAATTGTTTACTTTTTAAGCCACAATTTACAAAAAAATGTGGTCTCAAGAGATTTTACAAACGGATCCAATTTATTAACAGCAAAATGAGGTCAGTTTGATCTGAGTATTCATACAAGCTAACATACTGAAACTTATTCCCAGGACATCAGCAGGCAGACAATTAAAGCAGCCAACAGGAAGTCGATGTCGACCCAGAAGGTTTTTACAGAAGTTCTGAGGTTCCTGAAGGACGATGCTCTGAAAACCATCAGATCTCATCCAGAAGGAGGAGAGTTCACAGCATCTGACTTCACCTGGGTGCTGACTGTTCCTGCCAGCTTGAATCAATCAGCTAAACAGTCCATAATAGAAGCTGCAGTTCAGGTAACATCATGTTTTTAGAGTCATCATCTCTAAATGT